ACTTTGGTTTTCTAATGAAGAAAACAATCTCGGCAGTTACCCATATACCGTCTCCAAGGGCTCCTCAGCAACGGAATACATGATGCGCGTAGTGGGATTATCAACACATGGAAAAGAGTACACCCCAACCGCGTGCGCCTTGACATTTCCTCCGTATCTGGGACCAGAAGGAAGCAACTGATGACCCCCCAATATTGTGTGGAGGGCAGTCACAGATGTACCGTGGGACTGCTTTGTCCAGCCTGCGGATGGGTCTAAGACCTCCGCAATCTTTTCATATGTCACGAAGAAAGGTAACGAAAGCGCAACACAATGGGCAACGCCCACCCTATGGGTCTTCACCGACAACTTAGCCCAATTCAGACGATCAGCAACTGTGGCTGTTGGGTCTGCTCTTGACCTGTCGGCTTTGACCCTGAAGAAACGTGCCCACTTCGGAACCATGTAGTTCGGTTTCATAGGTGGGGTTTTCGTCGACTTCTGTAGCAGCTGAAAAGCAAGCCACGCTTCCCCGTTCGCGGTTTTCTGAACCATATTTTGTTGATAGCTCCTAGCCGGGTTCTTCCCTTGTGCAACCTCTGCAACGCGACCTTCCTCGCCTGGGCAGGTGTTCCCCGGCATCATGCCTCGACGGAGGTTTCCGCCAGCAATCGTGAAAGGACAAAGAAAATCATGGTAAACGATTTCTGTCCCCGTTGCGCTTTGGAAAGGCAACCTCTTTGTCTGCTGATACGACAAACGATGGGGCCAAAAGGGCTCCTCTTCTCCAGGGCTACCTTCTTTCGGCCGCTTTGGGAACTTGTATCTGCCGCTGAGCTTTGACTCGCTCGAGCTGGCTAGCTCGACCCTAACCCCTAACCCAGAATCCGAACCCAGAAAAAAACAGTACGACGACGAGGCCCCCCTGTGGGTGGGTCAGGTTGTTGTAGACGCTTCTGGGGGCCTCTTGGAGACCTCTCGGCGGCCTCTTCGGAGATATTCGGGACCTCTTGCGGCTCTCTTGATGGCTCTTTGGGGTTTCGCGGGGCTTGGAAGAGCCTCCAGGGGGCCTCTTGGGGGCGTTCTTGAAGCCGAAAGCTCGAAATGTGCGTTCGGGTTCCCAGTTTGGGCTCCCCCTTCGAGCTGTCCCGGGGCCCTTCTGGGCCGTCTTGATGCCGTCTGGGGCCGTCATGGTGCTCGCTGGGGCCGTCTGGATCCCTCTTGGAGGGCCTCTTGGACCGTCTTCGGGCGATCTTGGGGCCTCTTTGGGTCGTCTTGGAGCGTCGCTGGGAGGCCAAAATTGAGAGAACTCCTACACCCTTCAGGACACCTTGGAAAATCGGGACCCTCTCGGGGATGCTGATTTTTCTCGCAGCCCCACGCGCTGACGGGCTGGAAGCGGACGGAGGCAGACCTACCACGAGCGCGTATCGACGCTGCGGCTGTGGGAAAATAGCTGAACGCCGATGCTACGCGGCGCGCTCGCGGCAAGCGACGCGGCACACATGATATTATTTCGGAGCCCGGCCATTTGAGACACCGACAGTTCGAAATCGGCTAAAAAAAACGATCCCCGGACCCCTCCGGGGGTCCAAACGACCCCATTTTTCACGCTGCGTCCAGCCGTGGCGACGAGGGGCTCCCTCGAAGGCCAACTACCGTTGTGTCAAACGGCCCTCCCCTGATTATTGCTCACTGTGTAGGAGCGGCACCACAACATTTCTGCGCGAGGTCAGGGGCATAGCATAGAACAGAGAAAAGGAACACTTACAGCAGGTCCGCGTGGTGTCGACCCTAGCGTTGATTCCTGACGCCGCCGCGATCGTTCAAAGTCGAACGATCGGGCGTTCCCTCAACGCTAGATCGTTCATTGTCGGGCCTATCAAGGGTCCCGGGCGGCGTTTAACCTTGCCGGTGAAAGGGGCCTTTCGTACAGAATGGAGGAGGGCGAGGAGGAGGTGGCGGAGGAGGAGGGGGAGGGAGGAGGAGGCGGAGAAGGCGGAGGAGGAGGAGGAGGAGGAGGATCAGGAGGGGAAGGAGGAGGAGGAGAAGGAGAATGAGAAGCAGGAGGGGAAGGAGGAGGAGGAGGAGAGGAGAAGGAGGAGGATAAGAAGGAGGAGGAGGAGGAAAGGGAAAAGGAGAAGCAGGAGGGGAAGGAGGAGG